CATATGTATGGGTTACCCGTCGCAGCAATATGCCAAAGCGAATATTTCTTATTATTATTATTGGACCCTCGGTCGGTGCCATTCGATATATGTGTATACATATATATCAATATTGAAATGAAACTCTCTGGCATTTACATTTATTTATTATTTTTATTCTTTGATTATCCAGAGTAAACATATATTGCTTTTGTAAATTTGTTTGTAAAATGTATGGAAATAGTTGAGGTATTTTCTTGATTAAAGGAAACTAGGCTTGGAAGATGAGGTACTAGGTGTAAGAAGTGTTTCTAATGGTAAGAAATAAGTTATTTTTGGGAATAAGTTTCTTTAAAGAATTTGAAGATTTTACTGAGAGCCTATCCTAATTCTAGTTTTTTAAAAATAATATTGAAGGAATTTATTATTGTTTATAGTAATTCATTATTGAAATTATTCTTCTTTTCTAATAAGATTTTATAATTATTTAACATTTTTAAAAGATTTTGCGGCTTTTCCAGCCTTTCCAGCAACTACAAATATTAACTTAAAAATGTATTCCCATTCAAATTGATTTCCATTGGCAATATAAAAGTTAAACCAATAAATGAAACTGCACTTTAATAGCCCCCAATATTTGCATTGCGTTGCCAAAAATCAAATGCCTCAAATAATTTAGCCACAAAAATATGAATAATATTTGTAGGCATTTATTTAAAAGCACCTAAACCCCCGGTATTTACACCAAAAATGCAAAAAACCACAATCAATTGAATTTGGTTAATATATTCCGGTTTTTGTGTGTGGCCAAAAATGGTGACATACCCCTGGGTTTATATATATTCCCCGATGCGTCAAGAGATTTGTTTGCCTGAAAATGCTTTTAATTTTTTTGTGATTTTCTCTGCGAAGAGAAATTTGCACAAATAATTTCAAGTTGCTACATCTCGCGATGAGTTTTCTTTTGTGATATGAAAAATACATAGTATACATATATATTCTGGAGAATGTGTAACAACAATTAAGTAAGAACGAAACTCTTTGGCTCCGGAAAAAAAGAAGGAAAAATGAAAATGTGGAAAAAGGCAGCTTGGCAGACGGCAGGCACTTGCTTAAGCGCTTTTCTTGGGGCAAAAATTATGTATACATGTGCGAACATATCAGCATAATTCCAGAAAGTCTGCCTAAGGACGAAGAACATGTCTATTTGGCTTCACTTTTGGCCTGGTTCCTGGTTTTTCACCCTCACTCCTCAGAGGGGCACGTGGGCGTGTTCATAATTTATTTCTAGGCAATTGACAGCCAAGCTAAATGCTTTACGCAGTGCCGAGTGTCGAGTGTCGAGTATCCTTCTTATTTCACCTTAAAAGAATCAAGGAGGAGGCCTCCTCCTTTTCCTTCTGCTAAATGGCGCATAAAATTTCACACTCAATTTGCTGTTATGCTTGCGGTTTATTAATGTCATATTTATGTAAATACTTCAAAATTGACAGCTCTGGACTATCGAATTAATTAATGACCCATTGGGCATTTTGCATTTTGCAGCAGTGACAGCTTTAGGACTTTGGCTGAAATCCTTGTGGTCAGTTCCTGAGAGAAAACGGGGGAAATAAACTTTAAACTTTCCTTTTTTTTGTTTTCCCCTGACTTTTGTGTTCTGGAACAAAAGTTTTTCCTTACTTGAACATAAGTTTCTGGTTTGCTTTTTTTCCCTTGCTTTTCTTTTCGAAAGAATCTCAAGAGGAATGCAGCGTGGAAATGCACAAAAGTGAATTAATTATGGCCGAAGGTAACGAGCGATGATAAATAGTTGCCAAGTCAACGGGAAGTCAGGTTTCAGGAGAGAAAAATAAGGTAAAAACTCTTATATTTTATTTCTAAAAGCAAATGATTAATCATGCCAAAAATATATATTCATAATGTCTTTATAACAAAGGAAATAATGGCTAAATTTGCCTTGATTTAATTTCATATTGCGTGCTACTCGAATTTCTATTCGTTTTTCTTTTTAAATGAGGTCATTAATCTAAACGAAATATTTTCATAATAGGATCAAAACGTTTCATTGTTTTTTTTTTCACCTAAATCAAGATAAAAGTAATATAGTCTAAGGTATTTCCAACAACCAAGTCTAGACAGCAATCAGTAAAATAAATCTTTATGAAAATGTCGTTTTAGGTAGCAGCTACCCTCGCTTTTCATCGATTTTGGATTTATGCGATTTATGCAAAAGTTGTCGAACTCAACTCCCTCCAGCAATTAAAATCTGCTTAGGGGCACACATTTTACTCAAGTTTTGATTAACCCAAATACATTTTCTGCAGGCAAAACAGAATTTTAATTGTTTTGCTGGAAAATCACAAGCTGATTTTCAACAGAAAATCCAATTGAGTGGCTCTCTGGTTAACGACACTTTGATGCCATTTCAAGTCATTCTCATTTTTTAAGTAAATGCAGTTTGACAAGTTCGTTTTCGTTTTCGATTTGCTTTAAGCAAGAAATTCTAGTGGCTAACTTAATACCCTTTTTTCAGGAGAAAACCTATATTAATATAGAATAGAAAGAGCTTTTTGCTAATTAGATTTTATCACAAAAGGGAATTAACTGGGCTTACTCTATCTATTTCATTTGTGAAAGTAATCAGCGGAATGCAGAAATTAATCCATCACAAAAAAATATGTTTTATTTATGTCAGGGATTTATTTACATTCCCAGCTTGATTACACTGAATAATTTTGTACCTTTGGTGGGTAGAGTTTTATATTTAGAAGAGCTCTAACCCACTCTTCTTCTATTTTTACTGCACTCGTTAAGGTTAGCCTGGGAAATTGGAAGTTCGGGGTCGTGCATTGCCATCATCCCTGACATTTGTCAGCTGCGAAATGGCCAAAGAAGCAGCTTACCATGGCCAACAACATGGCTAACCAGGCCAGGCCGGCGGCAGCTATGCGATGGATGGATAGATGGCTGGCTGGCATTGTCTCTGGGATTAGCCACGAACCAATCGAGTAGTAGATTGTAATTGTTACCCCAGCAGACATATATATCTGGCTATACTATAGATACTATATCCCCCAGATGCCTGATTGATGGGTGCAAAAGTGTGAAGTGCAGGACTAACCTTGGGGCTGTGGAGTAAAATCCTCTCTACCCATTCCTTCGGTGGCCCTGTAATTGATTTACCAAATGCAAATGCCTTCATCTCTCACTCAGCTTTTGCCGAGTTGTGTCCCCAATTTGAATGTCAGCCGGCAGGCGATATAATTTCAAGCACGTACACAGCCCTTTCCTTCTAATTTCCCCTCGAATTTCCTCTACCAAATTCCCCCACACTTTCAATTCTTTAAATTTCCATCTCGGTTTCATTTCGAGTTTCTGTTTCTGTTGCTGTTTTTGTTGCCGTTTCTATTGCTGTATCGGTTGTAATTGCCATATCGCTGGTGCCTTAGTTTGAATGGGGGGCTAAGTAAATTGGTTTGACAACCGCAAAGGGCAGGAAAGGCTGGTGCAGGAGGTTGTTTTACCCCTGTATAGGCCCCAGTTCCATTTCTCTACCCTCTCTGGGTGACACTCCCCAGCACGTTCCGGCCATGAAAATACTTTTTTTGGACAAGGAATCCAACACGTTTCAATACCCTGCGGACAGTCTGTTATAGTTCGGTGTCAGTTTTGTGACATATTCTACGAAATAGAGCTAAGAATTTAAGGTGTAATTCTATGTGAACTATACTCTCATTTCTCTTAGTTTCTCTCTCAGTTTAAATGCTAATTACATATTATTTTCACCTGCCAAACAAGGTTAAATGATTAAGTGGCTATTTATGGCAAATACTAATACCAACTATGGTCTTAAATGTTTGTGTTTGCCACCATTTAGTGAGATTAGATTTGTTTGAAATGTCAATAAGCCGAAATTCGCTTTAAAAATAGATGATTAATAATGAAATGGAAAGAGGGGAAATGTTATAATATATTCAAATTTCAGTATAAAGAAGTCACTTCATAAAACCAACCTTCAAACCCTTATAGATATATCGTTTTATTACAAACAAAAATAAAATATATAAACAGCTGACAGCTATAAAAATTTATCTTAAACTGTCAGTTCAAGGTTGGAGGGTCTTTCGAGCATAAAGATTCTATAACTCTGGCCATATATTTCACATTTCTCAAGTCAGATAAGATGTGTCTAGAGGTAATTCCCAGAAAACCGAGATAAAAACCAACTTTGACACCAACAGATATCAGAATTATTTGAAAATTGTCAAGTGGCTGGGCAGGGTATTCAGTGTGTCGCTTTCCCCCTGCAGTTTGTTTTTATCAAAAATTGAACTCTATATATTTTTGTGTTTTATGAGCAGCACATTTGTTGTCGTTGGCGCTTACTTGCCAAAATCTTTGGAATTTTTAATGATTATTTGGGGATTTTCTATATAATAGACCGCGTGTGTTACCGTCTCTCGTTTTTCTTAGTTTCTAATTTTAAACTTACAAATCCAAATCGAGCATGGGAATAATAATAATGGATCGCACTGAGGAATATGTTATTTTCTAAGTTATTTTCTGAGTTATTTTCTGCGTTATTTTCCGAGTTATTTTCTGCTGGGCCAAGAAGGCTGCAATTTGCTTTAACGAGCCGTTAACAACTGAATATTTGAATATTTAAATAAAATCTTATAAATACGAAATTGGTTCTTGTGGTGTATACAAAAACCTGCCCCTGCTGCCGCCCCCAAAACACGCATATATTTATATATTGGGATCCAAATGCAGGGGGCAGACATATAGAGCTGTATATCCAATAAAATCGGACGTTGTTTCCGCCGCCAAAAAGACCGAGAAACGTTCCTCAACCAGGAAAAAAAAACATAAAACAAAAACAAAATTAATTCCCCCGTCTTTCAGCCAAGAAATTTTGTATTACTGCAATATTTGCAATTTTTCCTTAGCTGAACTTTAACTTGCCGTGTTTTTGTTATTTATTTAAATAAATTTTGGGTATTTATTCGCTGTGCACGCACCTTTCTGACTGGATTTTTGTGGTGTTGTTAGCTGCTAAAGGCCAAAGATACTTGTTTTTGTTTACACTATTTATTTTTTTGTTTGATGAGTATTATAACTTTAATTTTCTATTTGTTTTTTTTAGGGGGAATAATTCACTGGCACACTCTCACAAATACAGAACACTTGCTTAACGATCTTTGTTATTTTTCTTTTTTATTTGCTTTTTTTAGACCTCGCCATTTGCACTTTGTATTTGGTGATAATATTCACGCTTGTGATTCGGTCGTCCGCCGGCTTCTTATCCGCGAGGCGAGATCGCGGAAAATCCGTATGGCGGAAAAGCGGCGGAAAATCGGAACGGACCGAGAGGGAGCACACGAGGAGCAGCCAGCAGCAGCGTTGCCGAGCGAGTGAGCGAAGAATGCGAAATTAACTCGCACAACCAGAACGTTGCGACGTCGAACATCAGCAGCGCTTCGTCGTCGTCATCAACATTCGTTACTTGTGCGAAAAAAGTGTTGTTTTCTCAAAGGCAACAAAAAAAAAAACATACATATATATACAACGAAAAATGCGAATAACCGAAAAGATGCCGCCAATACTTGGCTCCCAGCGACAACAATCCCAATATCAACCCCCCGCCCTGTTGGCCATACGTTAAGCATACGTCACCATTAGGGCCAAACATGTTCGATGTTGCGGCTCGAAACTGTTGCCCATGTTCAGTAGGTTGGTAGGTCACTGTTCTAACGTATCTGCATCTGTATCTGTATCGGCAGCAGGCGTATCTGTGCGAAGCGTATCTGTATCTGTACGCCATGTTCCACTCATAAGTTCATTAACGCAACAGTTCCAATGGGGTGCACTCGGGGAAAATAGCCATTAACTTGAAAACTCTTTAAATTTTTAGATTTTTAAGGTTTAAATGTGGAATTTTAAGCATATTTTATGGATTATATTTGGAAATAATAATCAAATTTATAAGTTTTGAGGATAAATAATATTAATAATATAGAAATTTACTCAAATTCGGAATATTCGGGTGAGATATTGTAATACAAGGGTTTTTTAAATTATAAAAATGATTTTAAAATTAATATAAAACATTTTAAATCGTATAAAAATTAAACTTAAACTGAATTTGCTGCTTAAAAAATTATTGCAAATTTTTTTAGGGTTTTTGAAAAGTCTAGTCCTTTTTGGAGGACCCGAAAAAATGTTGCACAATGTTAAGAGAATTAATTTCAAGAGGTTTTTATAGTTTCAAAGTAAAAAATTATATAAAAAGCTAATTATGAAGGTTGTTTCTGAGATATTTAATAGTAAATAAGGATATATAGGCCTAATTCTACACCTATTATTTATTTATTTTGAATCATCTCAATTCCACTTTATTTAAATTAAAGTTTTAACAATGTTAAAAATGCTTATAAATAATAACTTTATTTTTAATGCATTTCTAAATATTTCAAAATTTTTCTAGCTTTATTTTTACCCAATATTCTCCCCATTATTTCCCCCAGTATATGTTTTTTGTGTCTCTATAGCTTGTATCTGTTACTTGCTACAAGCCACCACCCGTTTAAGCCCTCCAAAAACATACCAAAATTTTGGGTAATTGCTTGAGGCCAAAAACAGCAAAGGCGTATTAATGAATGCCCTCGATTTGCACGTGATGCCGCAGTTTCCTTTGTGCGGTTTTTGGTGTCCTCGAAAGGGTTTCGGTTTCGTTTATTTACTGTACTCGGCTGAATGGATTCGAAACCCGGTAATAATGACATTCGGAGAACTGCCAAAACTAAAGTTAGTTTAAGAACGGGTTGAACATCAATGAATACAAATAAGATCCTGATTGCAAAGGGTTTCTATTGGATTTCAGCCCTGTTTAGTTGGGCAATTCTATGGCCATGTGTATACTTTACCCCAAGGAACACAATTATTTTGAGGAATAGATTCGGACACAGCTTGCTTTTCGTTTAATTAATTGTCAGCCGAAAGAATAATTGTGCGTTTCCTTTTTAATAATTCAAAGAAACTCAAGGGAAACTCAAGGGAAACTCAAGTGATTTCAACAGAAAGACCGACCTTGAAAAATAATCCTATTAAAAAGGTGCAAATATAATCATTTATTAGGACCAAGGGCTTAAATATTTCATTAATTTTAAAGGGGTTAACGTAAAGGTCAACAGTTGTCGGGTTAAAAAAAAATGTGATTCAATGCCAACAGAGATTTATTTATTGAAAAAATATTTAATAAATTACAACTTTGAATGTTGTATCATATTTTAGGTAATTGTTGAAGTATATTTAGATATTTTTTAAAAGTAAGAATTGTCTAAGCTTTTCTATATAGATAATTGCAAAGTAATACAACCAAAAAACAGTACCGAAACCCTCTTCAGAGTCCATTTTTATTTATATCTTTCTTTTTCTTTAAATATTTAAAATGTTTTATATATAATTTACTTCAATTTAAAGCCTCTTCTTATCCTTATTTACAAAATATTACCCATACCTCTCATTGTTTGTATAAACCTTCACTTTTTGAATCGATTTTCAAGCGGATTTCGTATTGATTTCCCCCCTCGAAAAGGCTAATATTTCTGTTTGTTTATGGCTGCATAAAGTTCGCCTCCATTCGCACCTGCCAGCGGCACCTACACATACACATATTCCCTGGTACATATTTCACATATTTTGCGAAAACTGAAAAATTCCATTTGGTCCATAATGAGTCGCCAAATTTGTTGGCCTTTCTAATGGTGCATTTTGTTGTTTTTCCTGGGCTTGGAACTTTCCCTGCCAGACCGTAAAATATGCAACTACATTTCGGTTTTTCCAGCTGTGGGGAAAATACAAATCGTAATTAATATGTGCATGTGACGAACGCATTTATTTTGCCCGAATTTGCGGCGGAGGTTGGCAGATGTTGCCACCGTCCCCCGCCGATTGGTGGGAAACCGGCGGCATTTAGCATTTAGCGGCCGTTTTATGGCCATCTAATTAACTGGCCGGAGAGTACTGGCCAAAAGCCCAAATTAATTGGGAATTAAACGGGCCGGGAAGCAGAGCTAAAGTTCTCATTGCTAAATGGGCCCCATAAAACCAGTATGCAAATAATAAAACCGAGGCCCGGACATTGATTCCCCGTTCTGGCATTGAATCGGATGCTCCTCCCAGAGGCAATAAAATCGCAGCCCATCCCAGGACTAAGCCCGGGACTCTTCTGCCCATTCAGCTCGACCATATCCTCTCGGAATCGTAAAAGAAAATATGAAAAGTCGAGGCACGCATAAGTGACCAGCAGGCGAGTTTTCCTTTCCCTTTTTCGGGGGGCGGCCTGCGGCATAAACTATATTTAACAATCTGTTTATATGGACTATGTTTGCCTCCCTGCTTTATGCACTGAAGTCAGCAAATCTGTACTTTTATGTTTGTATTTCAAATATGCCTGGGCAGAGAGGGTCACGGTCCTGGACCACCACGTCCACTCGAGACAAATGTCCTCTTTTGGCCAAGCCAAGCTGCCGCTGCTGTTATTTTTGGCCAACTAGAAAATTATGGCTGTTGGGTGAGGTGGAATGATGTATACCCTGGGGGCGAACTTGGCCTAATCCAAGCATAAAAAAAATTGATTTTTTTGCGTCAAAGGGTAAGTCGCAATGAATGACCCTGATATTTATGGGACGCAGAGTTTAAGTTGTAAGAAGAATACGTTTCTAGGTTTGTAATCTAGAAATATTAATAAAGGTTTTTAAAAATGCTTAAAGATGTCTTTTAAATGGAGAATGTATTATGAGTTTCAAGATGAATTGAGAGTGCTTAGATCTTTTAAAATGATTATAATCTTAGATTTAATCAATATTTCAATTTATATATTTTTATAAACATTTTCTCCTCTAAAATAGTAATTTTATAGATGCATTTCTCAATTCAGTGAAACAATAAATATTTTAGAAATATATTTTTCCTTGTTATTAATGAATTATAATTTTCTTAATTTTATAAAACAATAAATCTTCTCAAAAATATCCATATCTCCTTGTCATGAATTTCTGAACTTAAGCTCCAAAACTCTTACAATCCAATTGACAAGTTCCTCATGTATATATTCCTAGCTGATGGGAAATTAGTAAAGGGATTTGTAACTTGGCCTACCAACTTGGTGTCGCAACTAATCCGCAAATCCAGCTACCATTTGATTAGCCAGCATATTTATCACTAAGTAGCCGAAAAGTAGTTTGTCTACGCCATTTCCATTCTCTAATACAAACGAAAAAGAAAAATACAGACCCCATTCCCTATACTCTCCCCCCTGAAATGCCAAAATGTTTTCTCATTGTTATGCGTGCTATGCACAATTTTTTGTATTTGTATTTGTGTGTTATTGCCTGTGTATGAGTGCCAAGTGCAAGTGTATGTGAGGTGTGGGTGGTGGGGCGGCGCGGGACACATGCGTGCGATTTATTTGCTGTCACCACAAACACAAACATCAGCGGAGATAGGCCAACAAACAGTGGTTGTCAAGGGAATAGGGAAATAATTGATGAATTTTTAGTTTAAAAAAATATGTATCTATATAAAGTTAATTTATAATATAATATTTATAATATAACAAGAAAGAAAGCAAACTTTGGCCTTGCAGGTAACAATTAAAATATATCATAACTAAGCCAAAAATGCATTAATTTCGATTCGGAAAGCAGTTTTGTGCTAGTTTTTATTAATTTAAAAAAACTGCATATCAAATTTAACATTTTAAGAAATCAAAATTTTTGGCCATTTTTGCTCATTTTAATGATGTAACCCCTTATCAAATTTCCCAAAAATGGCCAAAAAATCGATTTCTTCCTGACATGTCTAGAAAGATTCGCATGTTGATGCTGATCAAGAATATATATGGTTTATGGGGTCGGAAATGATTCCTTGACTTAGAAAAATATTATTTTTTATTATAAAATCGGATTTTTTATATTAAAAAACTTCTTGCTTTTTTTTTAAATTAATAATATCATAACTCGGCCAAAAGAGCATTAATTTTAAATCGGAAAACAGTTCTGTGCAAGATTTTCTACAGTTAACAAATCTGCATACTTCATTTAAAAATTTTGAAAATTCAATTTTTTATCAAAATCAAAAATTTTAATGATCTAACCCCTTATAAAATTTTGCAAAAATGGCCAAAAAATCGATTTCTTCCTGACATATCTAGAAAGATTCCCCTGTTGATGCTGATCAAGAATATATATGGTTTATGGGGTCGGAAACGTCTCCTTCACTGCGTTGCAAACTTCTGACTAGATTTATAATACCCTGCAAGGGTATAATAAATAATTAATAATATGTAATAAAAATACCTCTTTTCAGAAAACTTCTCAAGAGTCCCGATTATGAAAATCATTGTGGTTAGTAAAACATAGCCTACTTTTTGGTGTTTTCCTTAAATCTAAGATTAAAAGAGCTACATATCAGCTAAC